CCATTCTCTTCCTATAAATACCCATTCATTCCATTCACCAAATCATCTCATTTTCCATTGTAATACACAAACACTTCCCCTTCTCCATCTTCTCCATTTCCACTCCATTCCACACTTCCATCCCCCCAACCAACCTATCCTTAAACCTTGTGCTACAACAACGAGGAAGAGAAGAGTGCCTAAACGTTCATACAATTCAAGTTTTGAGTTGTTGGGATGTTTAGGTGTTTCTTTGATTTCAAAGTTTCATTTTAATTCTCTTTGTTTTGTACGTATAAGGAATGAAAGAGAAGAGTGCTTAAACGTTCATACAATTCAAGTTTTGAGTTGTTGGAATGTTTAGGTGTTTCTTTGATTTCAAAGGTATGAGGAACTAATCCCCCTTTAGCTAGGGGGTGATTCGAAACTATGTTTATATTTGCAATATGAATTGATTAACTTTCGTTGGAATTTCATAAGTTGTGGATTCAATTTGTTTAACCGTTTGATTGATAACTTATTTATGAATGTTTATTAAGAATGCGCGCTTAATTTTCATGCATAAATATGACGCTAGAATATAAGTGATTTTCACCTAATCGTTATGAACTTATATTCACAAGTAGTGGAGGTTGCTTATAAACAATCGCGTTAAATGAATTCTTGGCACGAGTTTCATGCTCATCATAGTAACGAATGCCTCGTCAACACTTATAGTTTTCATAATACTTAATGATCTTTGATTGTATCTTTATTGTGCTGTTCACGTAAAGGACTTTTGGAGAATGTTGTGAATTGCGTTGCGCAAACCCATCCAATTCATTAACTTAAGGAAAACTTGACGGTTAATTTAAGCGGACCTAATTAATCCGGAGTGTTGAGTTTCATAATTTATCGAAAGACCAACTGAGAATCAATCTTGTATGCAAGTATAACATGTGTGGAGAAGAACCCCTTAGCTAGCCTTCATTCCATTCATTCCATCACAAATTCATATTTACATTCCGCTTAGTTTATTAACTTGTTTTGTTATTTCAATTTTCGTCAAATCAAAACTTCCCCCCCCCTATACTTTCTTGTTCTTTAGTGCTTAGAATCTGTTTAGTTTATGTTTTAAAGTATTTTGAATCAAGCCATAATCTTAAATTCGTCCAAAATTAGTTTTGAGTCTTTTGGTTTGTCTTAATGTTTTAAATTTTAGTTTTGCATTCTTTGAGTCTAGTTTAGTGTTTTATATTGTTTTTACGTTCTTAAGTCAATTTAGAAGGTTTTAGCAAGCCCTCCTAATCTCCGGTCTAGAACGATCCCTCACTTATCCATTCTACTACAATTGTCAAACGAGGGTTTAATTTGAGTGTCAAGTAATTATCGCATCAGTTTCATACAATTGTTTTTAGCTACTTGGAAGAGAAGAAGAAGAAGAAGAAGAAGAAAGAAAAAAAAAAAAAAAAAAACCGAACCGGGCCGAAACCGAACCTAGAAAAACCGAACCGAATACAAACCGAACCGAACACAAACCGAGAGAAAACCGAACCGAACAGTAATTTCGGTTCGGTTTCCGGTTTTGGCAAAAAACCGAATCGAACGGAACCGAACCCACCCCTAGTAGTAATGAAATTAACAAACAACCAAATTCCAAACGAATAATTAATTGTTAGATGTACAACGGCAACAAAAAAACTAAATTTTTAGATGTACAACCAGAAATTAACACTAATAAAAAATAGCACTTGAATAAAATGCATAAACAAAAGCTGTGCTAACATGAGAAAACATGCAAAACAAAACAATGTTAAATATCCTAGGTGTTCCATTTATAATTATTCTCCATTTCTATATATTTAAACTACCAATTATCTGCATAAATATTTCATTCCCTTACAACTACCACAACTATATATTAAACATACTTAATAGAGCATGCAATTGTTTTAATTACATCATTCTTTAAAAAACCCTTGGGTGGGGGCTGAAAGGCTGCCATATTTCATTAGTGCGTATAAGCCAATAATTGTATCCACTGTGATTATTTTTTATGATTTGCATTTATTTAGAATTCACAAAATCTTGTCTTCCAACTAGATCCTGCTATCTAATCCACACCTTGTCCTGTACATGAAAATACACTCCAAATGTAAATTTCAAAGTTGTTGTAATTTAAAACGATCATGCTAAGATAGGCAATCCAAGATAATGTCTGGATTTTAAGTCTTCAAATTCAGAAACATATCTGGAACGTTTGTATTGTGAGAAATCAAAATGAATAGAAAAATGAAAAAGGCTGTGATTTTCGCACATCCTTAACTACTTTTTCCACACCCTTCTCTGTTTTTTAATACTTAATTGGTATCATACTATTTAATCTTCCATATATACCCTTCCTACCTTTTTATGATAATTAATGAAAGATTAAATAGGAAGAGGTATATATGGAAAATTAAATAGTAGGATATCAACTAAGTATTAAAAAATATGGAAGGATGTAGGAAAAGTAGTTAAAGGTATGTGGAAATCACAATCCAAATGAAAAAGGTCCAATGAGTTCCTCCAATTACGGAATTTTTCACGTACATGCACATAACTACATCTTTACTATAAAATGTTGTACTACTAAACAATACACTAGTAGTCAAAATTCACTTTAAACCGCATTATTTTAATATGACTAATATGATTAGTTTTGTTTGTTTTTGTTGTCTTTTCAAACCCCAATAAAACTATTCGTTTAGAATTGAGAATGATAGTATTTCTAATGTTTTTTTTTTCAAGAATAAAGACACATTAATCTGTGATTATAAAATAAATCTATCATATACGTAGATAAATACAATTAGCAGAGCTAGGTTGATTACAAATATTAAAATAAAATCTATAAATGAACTGTTTAGAGGAGGAAGAAGAACAATAAATAACCAAAAAAATAATAATAAGAAGAAGAAATAATTAAATATAAATTTAATTTTCATAGTAAATCTTATCATTAAAGAAATAATTATTAATTTGCAAATAATCGAGAATTAAGTAATGCAAATTTGGCCAAAAATATTCAATGAAAGGTTAAACAAGATGTCGATGTGTTTGACAGTGTTGGTGTGATGTGTATTACTGCTCAGTTATTATCTTATCAACATTCGAAATGCCAATGTGATTGTTAATATATACGTCAATAATTTCCACTTGCCTTCCCAACATCTCTCGCTCTCCCTAAAAACTCTTATAAGAGCAACTCCACCGTTGCAAAGCCCCCCTGGGCTATTTACTATTTAATTCACTCAGTGAACAGTAACTGCTCTTAATAAACAATAATTATCTTTTGTATCTCCACCCCTACACTAAATAACCCTGGCCTCCGTCACTGCCATTTCAGCACCTGCTCGGAGGCCTCCGTCGCTGCCGATGAGCTCTTAACTGGACAAGGTCGAATAGGCTATAAAGACATAGGCCTTCGTCATTGGCAATGAGCTCTTGACTAGACAGGGTCGAAAAGGCTATAGAGACGTCAGCCTTCGTCACGTGGCCTTCGGGCTCTTAGGCTGGCAACTCCTGCCGGGCCTCTCCCTCGGGCTCTATCGCCAGCACACACTGGACTTCATCACTCGGGCTCTTTGGCCCTGAACCTGCGCCTATCCCTCGGGCTGGAGCACATGGTGAAAGTGCTTTAAGCATGACTTCAACTCCTACAAAGCACAGTAAGAAACCTAACTCTGCTTTCTCTGCACCTTCCTTAACGTCTCTTTCTTTCCATTCGGTTCTTGAGAGGCTGCATTTATGCATTTATTCTTACCCAGCGAGCCATTCATGATACTCTATGATTTCCATTTGAGGTTGACGATTGGAACGATCTAGATGAATTTTGGTTTCGGGATTGTAGGGTTGATTTGGATGAACGCAGGTTTTTGGTTCAATTTCAGGGTCTAGGGACAAATGAAAATGCTTTGTTCTGGAAACAAACGGAAAAGCCAGGATGACCAACACGGGTACATCAAGGGCAAATTAGTCAAATCATTGTTAATGAACAATGTTGAGAAACTGAGTTTTAGTATATAAAATATAATTTCTTTGCGGGTCACCTTTTTTTCTCCTTTTCTAAAAAGAAACTTGCTTTGAGTGATTGAGGCTGTTTTAATGTATGTGTATGCAGGTGTCATCATACACATTATAATATATTAACCTTCACGCACCCGCTCACGTGCGTGTAGAAGACATTTTTTGACTCACGGCATGCCATTCGCGACTTACACGTTATAAATGTTTTTATATATGTAAATTGACAAAAAGAAAATTAAATATTTGAAGTAAATGAATAATTTTCGATCATGCTAGAACAAACCCCTTATAAACCAATTACAGTCGCTGAATTAACATAATAAAATCGGTTTGTATAAAATTTACATTAGGAATAGAGAAAATGATATTTAATAAACAATTGATTGAATTACATTATTGTTAGCCCATTGTGAGACTAAACGCACTCTCTCCCCCTTAGGATAGATAATATAATTTTTTTTAAAAAAAAATCATTTGACAATTAATTTAATCACATTACTATCCGCTTGCGAAAGACTTTTTTATAAAAAAAAATGATCATTTGACAACTAATTGAATCATATTATTATATGCGTGCGGGAAACTTTTTTATAACCGGCACAATGCACCTCTTAATTAAAAATTAAGAAATAATATTTAATAAACAATCGCGTGCAAAATAGATTTTTTGAATCACAGTGCGTTATCGGTGATTTATACATTTTAAATGTTTTTGTCATTTGTTTATTCTTTTCTTTATTCCTTTTCATTTTTTTTTCTTTTCTTTTTTCCCAAATTTACCAAATTACCCTTGGATTATTTTATGCATTCATATTTCACGTTTGAAATTTTTTTGGCCGAGGGGTATTTTCGTTCAATTACTTTTTGTCGAAGCCTGTGACACCAAAGTTTTTGTCCGCATGTGCACTGTTTGCACTGTGCACTTTTCCGTTGGCATTCTCTGCATAAATATATATATATATATGTAAGAAAGGATAAGAGTGAATTGCCTAGGAATTGAAAAAGGGGTGGAATTTCTTAGATATTTTCGGACTTCTGGAGATGGGTAGGTGTTGTTTTAGTGGGATTTTGACTGTGTTGTTGGGGTGTGTGTGGTTGGTGCTGCTGGGTGCAGTGGAGGGATACCCAGCAGAGGATCTGGTAGTGAGTCTGCCTGGTCAGCCAAGTGTTGGGTTCAAACAGTATGCCGGGTATGTTGATGTGGATGTGAAAGCTGGGAGGAGTTTGTTTTACTACTTTGTTGAAGCAGATAAGCAGCCTGACAGGAAGCCCCTCACTCTTTGGCTCAATGGAGGTAAACTCTCACCCTTTTCTGGGTTTCTTGAAAGCAAATTACAAATATTGGTTCAACTCTGTTGTGTAATTCATAGGTGTATTTAACTGACATTTTTCATGTTATTTATGATGAATTCTTCAAATTATGTATATATATATATATATTTATGTAGGGTGTGCATAAAAGCTTTCGATAATCCTTTATATTCAGCTGGATTTTTTTTTTTTTTGAAATCTGCTGCAGTTTTTTATTTTTAGGATATTTTGCATTTGTTGTAACCAACTTGAAATTGGTTGCTTGTTAAAAGAACTTGTTATGTATGCCAAATTACTACCATACCCTTGTCTGCAGAATGAAATGTTATCTCAATGTTTGTGGTTTTTACAATTGTTCTTGAAAGTGAGGATCTTAAACACCGAATAGTTGATAACATCGGGTGATTAACTTTGTGTCAGGTCCGGGGTGTTCTTCCATCGGCGGAGGTGCCTTTACGGAGTTGGGTCCATTTTATCCAACAGGTGATGGTAGAGGCCTCCGGAGAAATAAAATGTCATGGAACAGAGGTATTTCTGTATAGAACATGTGAATTTTCCTTTTTTCCGGAGTGTCTCTGTTCAGCTGTTAATCGGAATCATAACTAAATAGTGTACCATTTGTTAATTTCTTGTAGCATCAAATCTCCTTTTTGTTGAGTCACCTGCTGGAGTAGGATGGTCATACTCGAATACTAGTTCAGATTATAACTCTGGGGATGCCTCAACTGGTATAGTGAACAGCTAATTCCGCTTTCCTTTCTTTACACTGATTCAAGGGTGTGCTTATTCTAAATGTTTGCTTTTGGTTGATGAAACCTGTCAACCAAGCTTAACAACTTTTTTCTCCGTCATTTGATTTTGGCAGCAAGAGATATGCACACATTCTTGCTGAAATGGTATGAGAAGTTTCCAACATTCAGATCCCGAGAGTTGTTTCTTACCGGAGAAAGCTATGCAGGTCTGCAACGTCTGATATACTTTCAATTCTATAATCGGTTACTAGTAAATGGAACTCTTACAATTAATTCAAACCTTTTCTAAATATAATCATTGCAGTTCCCACATCTTCTGCCTACGAATTATCATTTGGAAACAGTTCTTACCATCTGAACTGTTTATGTACAGGGCACTACATACCGCAATTGGCCATTGCCATATTAGACCATAATAAACAATCAACTGGTTTCAAGTTCAATCTTAAAGGGGTTGCTGTAAGAAGACTTCACATATTTTTGAATTCCTCGCTTTCATCTATCTCTATAGTTGTCAGTTCACCTTTTTGAACTTTTCTTATCCGTTACCTTGCAGATTGGGAATCCACTGCTGAGACTTGATCATGATGCTCGGGCAACATATGAATACTTTTGGTCTCATGGAATGATTTCTGATGAAATTGGCCTTACTATCATGAACGAATGCGATTTTGACTATTATTTCTCTGCAAATACTCACAATGTAAGTCTTGAATGCAACAAAGCAGTATCTCAAGCAAAACAAATAGTTGGTGATTACATAAACGATTACGATGTGATTCTTGATGTTTGCTATCCATCTATAGTGGAGCAAGAGTTACGACTGCGGAAAATGGTATTTTCTATTCTACTTTATTTTGTTCAATATCTGTTTTCTTTTTCATCTTTCATTCTCATTTCATGGAACTTTGTCGTTTCATTGTTTCAACGAGTTTTTCCTTTACTCCTGTTTTCTGCAGGCTACTAAGATAAGTGTTGGAGTTGATGTATGTATGACGTATGAAAGACGGTTTTATTTGAACCTTCCTGAAGTTCAGGAAGCCCTTCATGCAAATCGTACAAACTTGCCTTATACTTGGAGTATGTGCAGTGGGTAAGTGAATATAACCTTTCTTATGCATTGGTAGAATTTAATGACTTATCTTCAGTCTACGCTCGCGTATGTCATATGACTGGTCTTCTCTTCTTTGTCTTATACAGCATTCTTAATTACAGCGATACTGATTGGAACATCAACATCCTTCCCTTGCTCACAAGGATAGTTCAAAATCATATTCCCGTTTGGGTTTTCAGGTAATTCGTTATGCTAATGTGTACAGGAGCAAAGTTGAACAGTACCTACTCTAATTTTTAGTGTTGCTACATAACATGATTTTCAACCAAATGCAGTGGGGATCAAGATTCTGTGGTACCATTATTGGGCTCCCGGACACTGATACGTGAACTAGCACATGACCTAAAGTTCCCGATAACAGTCCCATACGGAGCTTGGTTTCACAAGGGCCAGGTGCTTATGCTCTCTTCCTTTGGTAATTCTATTCAAATTCGGACAGTCTGTCTCTCGTCAACATTGCTTGTGAATATCTGTACATGTTTTAATGAATAGGTGGGCGGTTGGGCTACAGAGTACGGAAATCTGTTGACATTTGCCACAGTAAGGGGCGCTGCTCATATGGTCCCCTATGCTCAACCTTCAAGAGCATTGCGCCTCTTCAGTTCATTTGTTCGTGGTCGAAGATTGCCCAACACAACGCTTCCTTCCATTTACGAGTAAACAAGTTATGGGAATTGGTACAATGTAGCGGTAGAAGCTACTAGGTTCAGAAATTCATTTCTTTACCGCAAGGGCAATAAAGAAAGTTGATTTGTTTTTGGCAAGAGTACGGAAAAAAAAGAGGGATGGGCGATAAGTGTATAAAAGAAGATTTCAACGGCATCTGCAAAAGCATTCATTTGAGGCCAATCAAGAAACTCTGCAAAAACATTTCATCGATAGCTCGTGTTTTTCATGGAGTGTGTTGACAATCACTTAACTTTTGTGTTTGAATCATACAAAATGAAACTGGGAATCCCATTCAAGTGGCAGTCTTACGGTAGAAATTGATCGGCCGGATGAGTTTGTAACAATGGTCAGATGTATCAACCCAAGAAATGGACAAACACGAGGTTTCTAAAAGAAATAAATGTTCATGATTATAATCAAATGATCCCAGACAATTTTGAATACAATGACGCTTTGCAAGGATTATTCTTAGATGTAGATCTAAAAACTAGACGGTTTCGATCGTTCAAATTCAACGCCAAGTGTGTAATAACTAGGTTGCAAGTTGTTGGAGCAATTTGTCTCGCAGGGATCGTGAAACCCCATCAGAAACCACCAAGAAGGCTCAGTTTTCAGAGAAACTTGATACAAACATACAAGCAATTTACCAACACAATTCATCATGTTTTAACTTTAAACAATCATCCAAAGCAGTGACACAACTTTTCTGTTGTTTAAATATGCAGATAGCAGTTTCATGCTTGAAAAGTAATTGATCAAAAAAGAGAGAAAGCGAGTTCTTTAGCTGTTAGGCGGAACACCGCACGTAAGTCCCACATCGACCGCGTTCAAAATAGTATAGCTGTTCATATACCCGAACAAAGGATAGACGTTCACGATTTTACTTGAACAGGATCTGTTCTATAGGATCGTACCTCTGTATTCTTAATCTCTAAGGAGACAGGTTTCCCAACCTGGTCGATGAATAATGACCGTGCGATCAGAGCGTAATGAACGGTTTCTGGTTCCTTGGTTCCATCAAGCAGTAAATGATCGTTCTCAGCTGGTTTCTCTCTCTGGGGTGGTCGCACGGTAGTCTGGCAGGTTCCCATGTATGTATTTTTTTCTCCTCAAAACGTTCGTTTTTGGTTTACTTCACCACCTCACCCACGGAAATAATTCTTTCGTTTTTAATATTGATTTTTCATTTCTGCTGACTAAATATAGATGGAAAGAAAATCGCAGGATTGATAGATAAAAAATGGACTGTTCAGGAGCGGATTCACATAGGAACCGGTGGGCTTGGGACCCTTCGAATGCTGGGAGAAGCACCTATTGATCGACCACGCAGAGGGTTTTAAGTGCCTGACCATTTCGTGTTTTTTTTTTTTTTTGTACTACATTGATATTTTTATACTAAGGGTAGGAAGAGTTTGGCAAAGTCGCACAATGAGGAGACTATTTCGTTTTTAATTTCATGTTTTCATTTTTTTTCTTACTAGATCATGTTCCTTGAACACTGTAAATTTTAATTGTACTCATAATTTAACCTGGTTCCTCCTTTTTTGTTATTTCATTTGAAGCTGCTGCATCGTAGTTGTTTTCTGGTGCTTTTGTTCCCTTTCCTTTTCCTAGAAAATGAAAGACTCTGCCTGACTGCCTCATTCATTTTCATCTTTGAAGCAACAAAAAGGGGTTTGATATAATGATTGGTTGCATTCGGAAAGAAAAAGGTACGCCTGAAATCGCAATTGGACTGCCGGAAACCTTAGGAATTGGTGTGCTTCGATTTGACCTATATATGCGCTGAGACGCCTCCACCACTGCTTGGCTTTGTTCTTGGGGTTGAGGGGAGTCTATTGGTGGTGGTGATCGACAGGAATCATTGTTGTAATCAGCGGAAAATGAGAAAACTCGCTGGAAACCCTCGGCACTTTGTGGCTTCGACTTGGAAAAATGAGTGAGAAAATGGAAAATCTAACAACACCAAGATGTTGGTCTCGTCATGAGCTTTCCATGAACACCAAGATCACCCAAAACGGAAGTCGGATGAGGGAGATACGGCTAGGTCAAAAATGGTGGTTTACGGATCTACAAACGGATCAAAACGACCCAACTCGGTCTCTCCTTTCCCCTCCTTGCTCTCCCTTCCTATTGGCTCTCCCCCTCCTTCCTTTTATCTCCCGCATCTCTCATTTTTCCCCTCTCGCTTGTTGCCACCTGGCAGCTTCTAATCATTTTATTTTTTTATTATTTTATTTCCTTTCAAACAACTAAAACGTCTCTAATTTCTTCGTTGCAATTCCGATTCGCGAACGGTTTTCGCCTACGCGCTCGTATGATCGAACTCTATCCAATTATACTTAGTGTGACCTGGAAAAGTCCACGAATTTTTAATGATTACTGACCAAAATTCAAACTTCGTAATTAGTTTAATTAAAATCTAAAGTTAATATAAATTCTCAAAAATAATATAAAATCTCCTTAATACAAATACGTAATTTGCAATAGTGAAATCCAGGAATGAGATTTCACATAGGTACCTGCCCATACCCACCTAGGTTGCAACTCACTTTGACAGAAAATAGATAACTTTTATTTTGCATTTATTTTTTACAATAAATTATAAGAGACTTGTTACATACTTAAATGGATACAGACACTTATATACACAACATATAATATATTTACTTAAATCCTTCTAGTCCGCCTAGGCATCCTCATAGACATTAGGCTCTAGCCTGGCGCCCAACTAGTTTCTAGCGTCTTTTAAAACCTTATTTGAAATACACTACTAATGACTTAGTTTTTCAATTTTCAACAAAATAATCACATGAAGGGCACGAGTTTTGTGTTTTAATATCATTTCCAAAAATCCAATTTATCCTTAGATATGCCACTTGTGAGCTAATTATGTCGAAAAACTAGATAATAATAAGTTCTTATTCTTGAATTGCAACAAAAGTTTAATTGTAACATCTCACATCAACCAACAGAGAGGGGGTGATGTGCTTTATATGTACATGCTCCCCTCCATATAGCACGAGGCATTTTGGGAGGTCACTGGCTTCGGAGTTCATCAGAATCCTAAAGTTAAGCAAGTTCGCGCGAGAGCAATCCTATGATGGGTGATCCATTGGGAAGTTCTCGTGTGAGTTCCTAGAAACAAAACTGTGAGGACGTGGTTGAGATCCAAAGCAGATTATATCGTGCTACGACGGAGTCGAGCTTGGAATGTGGTGGAGCCCTAATCGGGATGTGAAATTAACCGCAAATGCTAAAAACTTCACTAAGAATTTCACTAAAAATATATTGAAGGGGAAAGAAATCAAGCACAAAATCTCAAAGGAGCGAAAAATTGAGGTGAGATAGTACTGGCACCAAAAAACTGTCATCTTGTGTTTCAAAATTCAAAAAGTATAATAACATAAAATGAAAATGTACTTGAAGGAGTGCAAAATGATCAGCTTAGAGCTTTCATCCTACTTTTGAGGTTTTGATTCGAGCCCTCATTCTCTCGATAACGTCTGTATAGTGGGAAATAAAAAAGAATAGAAAGATGAAGAAGGTCTCAAAGAATTCCTCCAATTAGGGAACTTTTTTTTTCACGTACATGCACATAACTGCATGTTACTACTAAACAATGTACTAGAGTAGTCAAACTTCACTTTAAAATGCGTGATCTTAATATTGACTAATATGATTGGTTTTGTTTGTTTTGTTTAATTTTGTTTTGTTTTTCAAACCCCAATAAAAGGTGTTAATTTAGAATTGAGAATGACAACTTTGGCTCTTTCAATTGAGCCCCACGAGTATGGATTATATAAAACGATAATAATTCTAATGGTTTTTTAGGAAGAAGATCTTCTTCGGATTCACTTTGTGAGGATCTTAGAGTTTCCTACATTTTAATTGTTTATTGCATATTGTATGATTATTTTTCGTTAGATACTATTTGTATTTAATTTTAAATAAGAAAAAATCAAATAATTTCTGATCACATGATACACGATGAATAGTTAAGATGTAAAAATACGTAGATCCTACAAAATAGATCCGGATGGGATCAAGTCTGTTTTTCAATGAATAAAGATATTTGTGTGGCCTGCAGAGTAAAGTAGTAAAGTAAGCTGCAGAGTGACCTTGAGGGAGAGATTTGTTTGACAATCGAGGGCGGCTATGTTGTCTTCTTTCCATGCTTATTTGAACAAAAAAAAAAACACTCAACATGATATTTTTGTAGGAGATAGATCTTTTCCGGATCTCTTCCATCAAAACCATTTATTAAAGGATCTGAGTCTTTGAAATTTTATCCAACGGTCAAATATTAATATAGTTTTTAAAAGATCAAAACAGGTGGACTGTTGGATAAAATTTCAAAAGTCCGGATCACTTAATCTGGTGATCTTAGTGGAAGAGATCCAAATATGATCTCATTCTAGTTCCCTTTTTGTCCATTGAAATCTTGTTTTCCACGTCCTCCTCATCATGATTAAGAAGATGTTTTGTCCATTGAAATCTTGTTTTCCACTTCCTCCTCATGATTAAGAAGATTGCTAAGAACATCTCCACCCGTTACTGGAAAGTAATTGTTGCTTTTGTTTTTACTTTCTTTTACCAACAGGTGGAGATTATCTAAAGACGCTCTCTCTAACAGAAAACTTTCATGGGCTACCACCTTATTTTTTTGTCTCATTGTTTTATAATGTTACCTCTATGATAGGATGGGAAGTTAATACCGACTTTAACTATCTCGGGTCAAGCTATACCTTCATTCGAGAAAACCATAAATGGGGTTCATAACAGATTGGATACAATGTAATATTACAAATTTCATATAACCAGATACAACCAATCATTCGAAATCCATGGTATTTTTTCACATATAATTAACTTTTTGTACATTCATTGCACCTCCAATTTCATCCTTCTTAAGAAATTTGGAAATTTACTAGTTGAGTTGTAACTGGTGAATTGTCCTAATGGTTAGAGATTTCTTCTCCAATCTTCTGCATTTTGGGTCTAGATCCTCATTCCCTCTTCGTTATATTAGTGTAAAGTATCGATTGAACCCAAAAAAATGACGCAAAAGTTTTGTCATAACTACATATGAAAAATACTTGACTCTTATACATAATATGAATCATTCTTCTCTAAGATAAATTATAATTGGAAGAAGTGGATGCTCTCGTGTTTTGAGTATTCATCTTCACCCCATTGTGTCTCAAGTTCAAACTCTCTCTCCTATTCCTTACTAATTATTAGCTTAAGTCCAGTATTACATTTTCTCCACTTTTATTTTTTTATACTCATTTTACATTTTTTTAATTTAGAGATAAATTAAAATCATGTAATTTCATGCATCTTCTAATTCCAATAAATCTACCTAATTTCTTTTAACAAAAATTAATATACCAAGATAAATTCATTTGCAGAACGTACGACTTGAACTAAAAGATATTAAAACATAATATACCTACAAACAAGACATATTAATCTGTGATACAAGTTGATTATAAAAAGAATCTATCACATATAGTTGATTATAAAATTTAAAATAAAATCTATAAATGGTGTTTAGAACAAGAAGAAAAACACCAAATAACAAAAGAAAAAAAAAAGAAAAGAAATGCCAATGCGACTATTACTATGTATGCCAATAATTTCCACTTCCCTCCCCAACGTCTCTCCCTCTCTCTCTCTCTGTAAAAAACTCTTATAAGTATGACTGCAACTCCAGCAAAGCACAGTAAAAAACCCAACTCTGCTTTCTCTGCACCTTCCTTAACGTCTCCTTCTTTCCATTCGATTCTTGAGAGGCTGCATTTATGCATTTATTCTTACCTGTCATACCAAATCCTAGATCTGGCATTTACCATTAATTATATTTATCCACACAAACGCCTTTCACGTATTACATTTCTATTTGGGTTCCCTTTTTTGTCTCCTTTTCAGAAAAAAGAAAAAAAAAAGAAAAAAGAAACATGCTTTGAGTGAGTGAGGCTGTATAAATGTATATGTGTATACAAGTGTCATCATACAGATTATAACACACACACACACACACACCTTGTGTAAGAGTGAATTGCCTAGGAATTGAAAAAGGGGTTGAATTTCTGAGGTATTTTGGGATTTCGGGAGATGGGTAGGTGTTGGTTTAGTGGGGTTTTGACTGTGTTGTTGGGGTGTGAGTGGTTGTTGCTGCTGGGTGCAGTGGAGGGATACCCAGCAGAGGATCTGGTAGTGAGTCTGCCTGGTCAGCCTAGTGTTGGGTTCAAACAGTATGCTGGGTATGTTGATGTGGATGTGAAAGCTGGGAGGAGTTTGTTTTACTACTTTGCTGAAGCAGATAAGCAGCCTGACAAGAAGCCCCTCACTCTTTGGCTCAATGGAGGTAAACTCTCACCCTTTTCTGGGTTTCTCGAAAGCAAATTGCAAACATTGGTTAAACTCTGCTGTGTAATTCATAGGTACATATAACTGATATTTTCGTGTTATTTATGATGAATTCTTCAAATTATGTATATGTATACATATTTTTATAGGGTGTACATAAAAGCTTTCGGTAATCCTTTATATTCAGTTGGATTTTTTATCAAATCTGCTGCAGTTTCTTATTTTTAGGATATTTTTGCATTTGTTGTAACCAACTTGAAATTGGTTGCTTGTTAAAAGAACTTGTTATGTATGCCATATTACTATACCATACCCTTGTCTGCAGAATGAAATGTTATCTCAATGTTTGTGGTCTTTACAATTGTTCTTGAAAGTGAGGATCTTAAACACCGAATAGTTTATAACATCGGATCATTAACTTTGTGTTCAGGTCCGGGGTGTTCTTCCATCGGCGGAGGTGCCTTTACGGAGTTGGGTCCATTTTATCCAACAGGTGACGGTAGAGGCCTCAGGACAAATAAAATGTCATGGAACAGAGGTGTGTCCGTATAGAACATGTGAATTTTCCTTTTTTCCGGAGTGTCTCTGTTCAGCTGTTAATTGGAATCATAACTAAATAGTGTACCATTTGTTAATTTCTTGTAGCATCAAATCTCCTTTTTGTTGAGTCACCTGCTGGAGTAGGATGGTCATACTCGAATACTAGTTCAGATTATAACTCTGGGGATGCCTCAACTGGTATAGTGAACAGCTAATTCCGCTTTCCTTTCTTTACACTGATTCAAGGGTGTGCTTATTCTACATGTTTGCTTTTGGTTGATGAAACCTGTCAACCAAGCTTAACAACTTTTTTCTCCGTCATTTGATTTTGGCAGCAAGAGATATGCACACATTCTTGCTGAAATGGTATGAGAAGTTTCCAACATTCAGATCCCGAGAGTTGTTTCTTACCGGAGAAAGCTATGCAGGTCTGCAACGTCTGATATACTTTCAATTCTATAATCTGTTACTAGTAAATGGAACTCTTACAATTAATTCAAACCTTTTCTAAATATAATCATTGCAGTTACGATTTTAGTTTTTACTCTTTCTTTCCCACATCTCCTGTCTACGAATTATCATTTGGAAACAGTTCTTACCATCTGAACTGTTTATGTACAGGGCACTACATACCGCAATTGGCCGTTGCTATATTAGACCATAATAAACAATCAACAGGTTTCAAGTTCAATCTTAAAGGGGTTGCTGTAAGAAGACTTCACATATTTTTGAATTCCTCGCTTTCATCTATCTCTATAGTTGTCAGTTCCCTTTTTTTTTTCTTATTTTTTCTCTTAACTTTTCTTATTTGTTATCTTGCAGATTGGGAATCCACTGCTGAGACTTGATCGTGATGCTCTGGCAACATATGAATACTTTTGGTCTCATGGAATGATTTCTGATGAAATTGGCCTTACTATCACGAACGAATGCGATTTTGACGATTATGTCTCTGCAAATACTCACAATTTAAGCCTTGAATGCAACAAAGCAATATCTCAAGCAAATCAAATAGTTGGTGATTACATAAACAATTACGATGTGATTCTTGATGTTTGTTATCCATCTATAGTGGAGCAAGAGTTGAAACTGCGGAAAATGGTATTCTCTACACTTCTTTTTCATCTTTCATTCGCATTTCATGCAACTTGTCGTTTCATTGTTTCAACGAGTTTTTCCTCCACTCCTGTTTTCTGCAGGCTACTAAGATAAGTGTTGGAGTTGATGTATGTATGACATATGAAAGGCGTTTTTATTTGAACCTTCCCGAAGTTCAGAAAGCCCTTCATGCAAATCGTACAAACTTGCCGTATACTTGGAGTATGTGCAGTGGGTAAGTGAATAAAACCTTTCTTATGCATCGGTAGAATTTGATGACTTATCTTTAGTGTATTCTCGCATATGTCAGTTGACTGATCTTCTCGTCTTTGTATTGTACAGCGTTCTTAATTACAGCGATACTGATGAAAACATCAACATCCTTCCCTTGCTCACAAGGATAGTTCAAAATCATATTCCTGTTTGGGTTTTCAGGTAATTCGTTATGCTAATGTGTACAGGAGCTAAGTTGAATAGTACATACTCTAATTTTTAGTGATGCTACATAACATGATTATCAACCAAATGCAGTGGGGATCAAGATTCTGTTGTACCATTCCTTGGCTCCCGGACACTGATACGTGAACTAGCACATGACCTAAAGTTCCCGATAACAGTCCCATACGGAGCTTGGTTTCACAAAGGCCAGGTGCTTATGCACTTCCTTTTGTAATTCTATTCAAATTTGAATGTCCGTCTCTGTTCAACATTGCTTATGAAAATCTGTACATGTTTTATGAATAGGTGGGCGGTTGGGCTACAGAGTACGGAATCTGTTGACCTTTGCCACCGTAAGGGGTGCTGCTCATATGGTCCCCTATGCTCAACCTTCAAGAGCATTGCACCTCTTCAGTTCATTTGTTCATGGTCGAAGACTGCCCAACACAACGCTTCCTTCCATTTATGAGTAAACAAGTTATGGGAATTGGTACAATGTAGTGGTAGAAGCTTACCAGTTTCAGAAGTTCATTTCTTTACCGCAAGGGCAATAAAGAAAGTTGATTTGTTTGTGGAAAGAGCGTGGATAAAAAAGAGGGAGGGACAATAAAGAATATTTCTACGGCATCTGCAAAAGCATTCATTTGAGGCCAATCAAGAACTCTTCAAAAACATTTCATCGATAGCTCGTGTTTTTCACACATTTTTTAATGGAAAGATCTGGAGTGAGTTGACAATCACTTAACTTTTGTGTTTGAATCATACAAAATGAAACTGGGAATCCCATTCATGTGGCAGTCTTACGGTAGAAATTGATCGGCCGGATGAGTTTGTAACACCGGTTAGATGTATCAACCCAAGAAATGGACAAACACGAGGTTTCTAAAAGAAATAAATGTTCATGATTATAATCAAATGATCCCAAACAATTTTGAATACAATGACACTTTGCGAGGATTATTCTTAGATGGAGATCTAAAAACTAGACGGTTTTGATCATTCAAATTCAACGCGAAGTGTGTAATAACTAGGTTGCAAGTTGTTGGAGCAATTTGACTTCAGGAATTGTGAAACGCCATCAGAAACCACCAAGAAGGCTCAGTTTTCAGAGAAACTTGATACAAACATACAAGCAATCTACCAAGACAATTAATCATGTTTTAACTTTAAACAATCATCCAAAGCAATGACACAACTTTTCTGTTGTTTAAATATCCAGATAGCAGTTTATTCTTGAAAAGTAATTGAACAAAAAAGAGAGAAAGCGAGCTCTTTAGCTGTTAGGCGGAATACCGCGCTTAAGTCCCACATCGACCGCGTCCAAAATAGCATAGCTGTTCATATATCCGAACAAAGGATAACACGTTACGACCTTACTTGAACAGGATCTGTTCTATAGGATCGTACATCTGTATCCATGATTTCTAAGGAGACAGGAACCCCAACCTGGTCGATGAATAACGACCGTGCGATCAGAGCGTGAATAACGGTTTCTGGTTCCTCGGTTCCATCAAGCAGTAGATGATCGTTCTCAGCCAGTTTCTCTGTCTGGGGTGGTCGCACGGTAGTCTGACAGGTTCCCATCTTTTTTTTCTCTCTCTTAACGTTCGCTTTTGGTTTACTTCACCAGCTCACCCACGGAAATCAATTAACTTCTCCTTTTTGGTTATTTCATTTGAAGCAGCTGTGTTTTCTGGTGCTTTTGCTTCCCTTTGCTTTTCCTATAAAGTGAAATGAGAAATTTTTGGTTGTGACTAGAACACGATGGTACACTACGTGTTTCTGTATAAACAGTGGAAAATTTTATTTCTTAAGTTATTAACATTTTAACACACATATCTCACTATTTATATAGTTACACGTAATGTAACATTTCATGTACCAATCATACAGAAAAATCTCTTAAATGAAAGACTTCTGCGTGACTACCTCATTCATTTTCATCTTTTGAAGCAACAAAAAGGGGTTTGATATAATGATTGGTTGCATTCAGAAAGAAAAAGGTTCACTCTTTCTTTTATCTACATCCTGATGGTGATGGGGAGCGACAACTTGTTAGTCAAAACGACATGAACCATTTTTTAACTAATTGATGAAAAAGAAATCTATTTATGATTGCAATTTTGGAAATATTATGCAGTATGTCCAACAATCTAATTGTCAAACCGATTATCACAATGATTTAGTGGCATTATTTTGGAGTTTAAGAGTAAAAAAAAATCTTATATTCAAATCTCGTAATTTGTTATTATTAATTCATTGTGTGACTTACACCAAATTCCTCATAGTTTAGTATTAATATATTTATGTGCTTCCAATTGGTTCTTAAATAAGGGAAAAGAATTCTTTTCCGAGGGATCCTAGGAATCCCGCAATCTTATCCGTTCATCGTACATTGTCCGGTCAGTTTTCGTTAGTTACTATTTATATTTAAATTTTAAATAATTTCTGATTGCATGATGTACGATGAACAGACATAAAGCATCCAGTGTTAGCAACAATCATGATAGTACGAGCAGGCCACGGTTGATAAATAAATAAATTGATAAAAAAAAAAAAACTCATTGCACTCCATTTTGATTATGTGATTAATTATCGAGTGGTCTAATATTATTTCTCTTCATAACCATAACTTAAATGTCTTTTAGATTTTGAATACGCTACTAATTACAAGTGCAACTCGGACGGATTAGAAGGTCAACCAAATTCTAACCCAACATGCACAATTCGGGTTTGGGTTTGGGTTGAATTTCAGCGGGTTCATTTGTATCTGGATTTAATTAGGTTCAGGTTACTTGGGTTGGGTTCATGTTGCCCAACTTTTTTGAGTTTAATTATGTAACAACTTATTTTACAATAATTAAAAAAAAAAAAAGAAAAGAAAGGAAAGGTCAAATAGCATCAAAGCTAGTTAACTTAAATATCACAAATCAATCAAACTTCAATTCAGCTCCAAAAATTGATATTCATTTAAAAGTTAAACCAAATACGCAAGTTTTAATCATGCAAAGTTTGAATTAAAAATACAAGAAAATACCATAGCTTGTAATAAGACTAAAAGATAAAAAAAGAGCAACAGTTCATATCCAAATATAAACAAACACCAAACTCAAGTCTTGTTGTCCAAATTCAATTTGCAATATTCCTTTTAAATAAGAAAAATAGTTAGTTGTATATCATATATTCACAACTGTTATTATTATCCTTTAAAACAAAGTACATGAGGACCTATAATTTACCAAATAGAATCAAGTTTAGTGCTACATGAAACCCCAATGTCAAAAGCTTCAACACTATCAACTATACCTATAAATGAAATTGTACCAAATATTATAAAGGTTGTTGGCTGTTAGACTTGGGTGTAATATGTGCATTAGTTCATTTGGAATTCGGGTTGGACATGGGTGAGTTCAGGTTAGCCCAACCCAAATTGCACCCCTACTACTAATGATTTTTTATTTTTTATTTTGAACAAACGATATTATCTACACTAAGGAAGAGGGGGTAGACTTAGCCTCACAATGGGCTAACAATAATGTGGTTGAAATTCATCTTTGACGAGAATCGAACCTAAGACCTCTTACTTACAAGTGAAGAGGAATTTTTTCAACAAAATAATCACATGAAAGGCACGAGTAGTGTTTTATTTTGTTTTTTTTAAGAGGAAAAATAGCTATTTTATTCATAAGATTAAGTATGCATATAATTGTCAGGAGAGCATTTCGGATAAAATTTGACGGCTTCTCAAACCAACAACTTGATGAATTAGACACTAGGCCTATTTGACCATTCTATGTGCCGCAACATTAGCCGAACGGTGAAAATGACAGATTTTGGAGTCATCGAATTAAGGCTCGCAGGCGGGTCTTGATATCTTCAATAAATAAATCAGAGGCAGAAAAACCATTAGATAGGTTGCCAATAGCTGGACAACCCTTAGCGCGTCTGATTCCAAGATTACAAGCTGCCAATTTTTTTGTACAACCAGTTCAAGTCCTTCCCGAACAGCAAGAATCTCCACCATATTGGGGCAAGTCAAGTGAGATATTTTATAGACAAAACTTCCAGCATAGCTATCGACTTCTTCGCGAAATACCACACCAAACACCCCCAAAATTTTTAGACGAACAAAAGGAGCCACCCACATCAATCTTGATCCAATGCACTGGGGGATGGAGCCAATGTGAAGAGGCTGAACGGTGCGAGAGAGTGGCAGGCTGAGCACTAGGATAATCAGAGAGGTGCAGCCCTGCAAGGTGGCTGACCACAGCAGGATCCGCAACCTTACCGTCCCAGAGAAAAGCATTTCATGCACACCGTATGGAGTTGATAATAACCAATAAGAAATCAAACTATGTCCAGTGGTAGGGTGATAGCACGATGGGAGAGCCAATCCATGAAGGAGGAAGAGGCGGAGCTACTAGGCCCTGGGTCGATGTTGGGTGCAAAAAGGGTGGCTCGAGCAAACGGACAACGATTAAACACATGTAGCCGCGACTTCGGAGAGGTACTATCTCCTAAAAGTCCAATTTATCCTCGCATATGCCACTTATGGGCTAATATGTTAAAAACCTAGATAATAATAATAAGTTATTATTCCTGAATTGCAACGAAAGTTTAATTGCGAATGCTGAAAACTTCACTCAAAATATATTGAGGGGGAAATAAATCAAGCACAAAATCTGAAGGAGCGAGAATTGAGGGGAGATGATACTGGTAATAAATATACCATTTTTGTGTTTTGAAATTCTAAACGGTAGGATTATAAAAAGAACAGTACTTAGAGTAGTGCTGACGCAGCACAAGCAAAGAGGAATATCCACGTAAAAACCTTGAAGAACAAGTTTTTTAGAATCCACCAAAGTCTAAGAAAAAACCCAAAAGTTATTTTGAGTTACTTTGAATTGATGAATTACATTGGAAGCCAAACGGCTTAAAAAGATATAAACACACCCCTAGGGAAGCTAAGTGGCTTAGGAAATTAAACGACATGAATTCGGAAAGAAATTGAAAAGTTTGAAATTTGTTACAAACTTTATTTTGTGAATTTGGAAGCCTAAACAACCTTAGATGGCTAGAATCCATCACAACAAAGCTGTGAGTTTGAATAGGGATGCCAAGCTTTTTTGGCCCAAAATGGAGCTTGGACGTCAAATCTATAAATTCTCACTACATCATTTTGTCTTCCTTCGGTCTATTTCTTCTTCTGTTCACCCGGTCATCTATTCTACGTCAAGTGTAAAATCATCATTTTAGGGCATCTTAATAAATCTCAAAGTTGAAAAAAAATTAACATTATTCAAGAACTTTCGTCTTTCTTTCAAGGTTTTGCATTTGATCCCTCCTCTCGATAACGTTTGTATAGTGAGAAATCAAAATGCACATAAACATGAAAAAGGTCCAATGAGTTCCTCCATTAGGAAATTTTTTCGCGTACATGCACATAACTACATCTTTACTATAATGTTGTACTACTAAACAATACATCACTAGACAAAATTCACTTTAAACTGCATTATTTTAAGGGGTTTTTGAACATTAGTCCTTGCAAAAGATTAGAATTTAAACCCAAAAAAAAAAAAAAAAAACTGGCACTAGAATATTACATATTCAATTTAATCTCTTAAAGTGTACTTTTATTAAACTTTATATTCTATTTTTGTTATTTAATGTGTATTCTTATTTAATGTCTCCATATTAAAATTTTAATTTTATTAATACGCACATATTAGTTTTTTTTCAATTATAATTGAACATAAATATTAAAAGAAATTAGTGACACATAAATATGTAAATACATAAATGTACTGTACCAAAATGTTTATACCGACATATATTATAAAGAATCTAAATGTATGTTCCGAAACATATTATATTGAATTAATATACCTAAATGTCAATACCAAAATGTATGTACCGAAATGTATTATATTGAATTAATGTACCTATATATTCAATGGATATAGCGAAATATATCAAATGAATTATTGTACCTAAATGAAGATTATACAAATTATATTCCTATATTATATAAAAAGTTAGTTTACCCAAATGTTGACATCAAAATGTAATATGATGAATGAAATGAAAATGAAAATGAAAATAAAATGTAATTAATACATTAAAAATAGGAAAAAAGAAAGCAATAAAACATCAAAATATAATTAACAAATGAGATGATTAAATGTATCGGGGACTAAAATTAGATTTTAATTTTACACAAGGTTATAGTCTAAAACTCATCTTTTTTAAAGATTAAAATGAAGTCTATATTTATTTTAATACGACTAATATGATTAGTTTTGTTTGTTTTTGTTTTCTTTTCAAACCCAATAAAAGTGTTAATTTAGAATTGAGAATATGATAATATTTCTCATGTTTTTTTAAGGAATAAAAGCACATGTCATATAGATAGATAAAACAATTAACTTGTGTTATAGATTGATTATAAAAATGTAAAATAAAATCTATGACGATATTTAGAGCAGGAAGAAGAATAATAAATAACCAAAAAAAAAAAAAAAGAAGAAATAATTAACATTCGAAATGCCAATGCGATTATTACTATGTACTTGCTTAGTTATTATCT